TTGATCACAGAAATAAATTACATTTTAAAGTATATTAAAACAGAAAACCAATATTAGAAATTTAAATAATATCTCACAATATTACAGTTTTTTTTTCTATATTTTTGATCAAATAAATACAGCCTTGATGAGCACAAGAGACTCCATTAAAAACATTACAAATCTTACTGATCCCAAACTTTTAAATGGCAGTGTATACTATATACTGTATATATATACAGTATATAGTAATACATATTATATATATAATAATAATAATAATAATAATAATTCAATACATTTATATAGCTCTTTTCTAAGCACTCAAAGCGCTTTACATTGTGAAGTGGGATCTCCTCATCCACCACCATATTTAAAATAAGTACAAACTATTTCATAACGTAAAAGTGCTACATTGCTACATAAACTTATGCTACATTGATGGGCAGCAATCGGCCTTCAAAAACAATCTTTTTTTCCATTAATACACAAATCCTACACTGATGGCCAGTTTTTCATGCAGCAGGCAGCATTCAGTCTATACAAAAAAAAAATATTTTGTCTCAATACATACATTCGCAGCGACATGTGCATCAGACGAGAACTTGCTGCTGAATGGTCAAGGCAGCTGTACATAAAACACCATGATGTCCAATGCCTGGGTAATAACATCCCGCACATGCTGGAATCACATTAACTAAAAGTTTTGTCCGTCAATATTTTACCACAAAGGCCCTGGCAGGCTGTGTACACAGTGAATTATAGGTTATGCGTTTCAAGATGTCACAAAATCTGATGGCACTCTTTGGATACTATGAGTAAAACTACCGCTCTATTTTGAAAAAAAAAAACTTTGGAGGCAGGCTCATTTGTTTTCGAGAGTCTAATGTATATGATAATATACAGTTTTACAACATAAACTGTGCTGAGATTGCATAATTTTGTGAAGAACGATGATGAACGGCAGATCGTTTAGAAGAATTCTGACATAAACCTATGGATAGTATATCAATATTTCATATATTTAACAATTTGGAGGAAAAAAGTTCTATTAGATGTTGTTCAATGGACGCTTAACTAGGGCTGCAGCTATCGATTATTTTAGTAATCGAGTATTCTACAGATTATTCCATCTATTAATCGAGTAATCGGATAAGAATTATTTTTCTTTATTAAAGAGCAATACTAAATATATAAGAGATAATAAGATAGGTCTCTTAAAATAAACAACTAATTTGTTTTCTTTTTAGAAAAATTAGCCTAACATTTTTATTGCTGAAATTGCATACATTAATAACCGTGAAAACTAAACCCATTTAATGCATTTAATTGTCAAATTACATTAAAAATTCAAATACAAATATATCAATACAAATGAATAAAAAAAATATATAAATAAGAATAAAATAAATAAATAAAAATACAAACATCAATTTCACATTACTTTAAAAAAAGGTAAACAGTACAAACTAAAACTAAGGCATAAATCAAAA